TAAAAACACATATTGTATAAAAACACATATTGTATAAAAACACATATTGTATAAAAACACATGTATAAAAACACATGTATAAAAACACATATTGTATAAAAACACATATTGTATAAAGACACATATTGTACAAAAACACATATTGTACAAAAACACATATTGTATAAAAACACATATTGTATAAAAACACACATTGTATAAAAACACATATTGTATAAAAACACATATTGTATAAAGACACATATTGTACAAAAACACATATTGTATAAAAACACATTGTATAAAAACACATATTGTATAAAGACACATAATGTATAAAAACACATATTGTATAAAAACACATTGTATAAAAACACATATTGTATAAAAACACATATTGTATAAAAACACACATGTATAAAAACACATATTGTATAAAAACACATATTGTATAAAAACACATATTGCACATTCCAAACAAGTAAATGAACAAATCAGATCAGAACATCAGTAGCAGGACAGACTATGTTCCTACTTTATTTATCATTCTGACTGATGTCGGGACAAATGAGATTGTAAATCTGTTAAATCTACAAGCAGAGGTTCTGAGATGTTTGTCAGATGCTAACAGCTCGTATTGTGAGTTGAGGATGTGAGCGGGATCAGACCGTACCCTCTGAGGACCGACTCTTCATAGATGGACTGTAAGGAGGATCAGTCCTTCCTGTCACTGTCATTGAGTTTGTGCCATCCGACTCAGATTGACCAGATTTTAGAGAGATTACCAAACCATGCTGACAGTGTGGCACGGGCAGCTTATTCACCCCTGTTGGTGTGAACCTGGTCCTTTCCTAAAGTTCCAGTGTTCTGGTCTTTACCYTGTCGGACAGACGGACCTTCATCAGTTTGAATTCATGTTTTCATTGTTCGTCTTTGCTAAACTTCCAAACGGAGGTCATTCACAGAACCATCTGCAGATGAGATATTAATTCATAACCTTTCCACAAGCTGCCATGTTCTGGTTCCTTCGAACTTTTTTTATTTTAATCCACATTTCACAGAAAATGTCAACGTTTCTTGGAGCCAGAGGGAAATGTCAGGTTGTTGAGCTGCCCGTAAACAAGACTTCCCGATTATACTCTCCATTTTTTAAACCATACTTACCTTCTTTCTTCTTGTTTTTGTTTCGACTCACTCCTGTGTTACGACAGAGACTTCTCGGACGCTTTACGCTCCACTTTTCTTCTCGAACGGGCCGATTAAACAGAGTGTGGAGGCGCCGCGCCGCTGCAGAGGAAGCTGCCTCTCTCTCTCCTTGACGGGTGACTTCGGGGAACGCTGCGATAGATAGATACCTTTTCAATTTCATGCAGGAGTTCTGGGCGTCTGATTGCGACGGACTTCAAAGGAGCGGGGGAAGCAAGCGAGCCCTGTGGCTACCGTGTTTTAAAACGATGAGGTTAATGTTGAGGAAAAACCTGCTGGAATCCCTGTAAAGCCAAAATAAAAATAAAAAAWTTTCACTTTCCTGTTACTGTTCATTTTGTTTTGGAGAAAATCTGATCCCATTAGCAGAACAAAGAGATGTGCTGGCAGGTGAATATTCTGATTAAATTAATATTTTAACAAAAGAGCAGTTTTTATTCTGCTTCTGGCTGCAGTCTAACACTGCTGTGAGGCCAGGTGGGATTTGGCGGGGCTTTTTTTTTTTTACTTCCTGTAGAGGTTTTTGTGTGTCAGCGAGTGACATTGATGCAAATAGATTCTATTGCTCCGTCGCTCTTATCTTTCTTGGCTTCGTGGTCCAGAATGGAGAGACGGAGCGCGTCGTGGGAACGGACTCGTACGTTTTTCAGGGATCAGTGYAGCCGCGGCGCTGCCTTTGAATGCAGAGCTTTGTGCAGAGTTCATGAACTGATGGAGGCGATGCTCAAATCTGGCACAAGATGTCGGTTCTGATTTACATATCCTGTGATCTAAACAAATATAATTAACTGGATGCATCTTGTTTTTTCCATTCTCCTTCTCTGTAATTCTTCTTTTAGTGGTTTTATTTGACTTTTCTCCATCCATCCATCCATCCATCCATCCATCCATCCATCCATC